ATCTCATTTATGTTGTAATAATTTAAGGTCATTTATTGAATCTTAGATATAAAAATGTGTTGTATGCTCAAGATCTTGACTTTATGATATGCGGTGCCACACTGACAGGTAATAGCGAGCGCAGCGAGCGTCGCGAAGCGACGCTCGTAACTGCGAGCTCTACCGACAACGCCTTGGCGAAGAGAAAATTCGGACTACTGCACATTCATTCTTTAGATTTTTTTGCTGCAGTAATTTTGACCCACAATGCATCACTTAGCAAAATTGCGTTCTCGCGAGAATGACGGCAGATTTTCAACAAAAAGTTTACTCGCTTTGATTAAATGGATACATTTTGAAGATAAATTGTAAACGTAACTTTTTTCATTAACTTTCAGCACTGTCTAGTTTGTTTCTTGTAACTTACATACGTCATGTGACGTCAGAGTCTAGACGCACCAAATGTCACGTGCGGTTTGACGAGCTTGATCTAAATCAAAACAATAGAAGAGTTTGCGCTCGCTCTAACGGTTGCACCGTCAACATATTATGGTGCCCGTTTGCTCAACGTGTGTGTTTAACTATTTAATTGTAATTAGTTGGAGATCAAAAGGTGAGAATTATTTAAGTTGATAGGTTCCCAAAGCCGGCAATAATTACAGAATTACTTAATTAGATGGCGGTATGCTAAAATAACTACTATAAACATAAAATTTTATCAGAGTGTAAAAATAATACACGATTAGACCAAGTACATCAAATAAACTTTTACAATTAAAATATTAATTTATACTCAACAAAATTTCGATATTTACATCAATATTTATAGATATTATAATTTTTTTTTTTTAAAACAAATGAAATAAATAGCACACATCTTGGAGCGAAACATCGTGGGGCGAACCATCTCAGCGCGAAACAGAATTGGCGCGAAACATCGCGGTGCGAACCATGCATCGTCGCGAAACATCCCGTTACCCCCGGAAGTAAGTTTTCACGTTATATCTCGCGAGTCACGTGACGAGACTTCGATAACTTAGGTAGCTGTAAAAATTCATACCTTATCATCAAATTTTTCATCATAAATATTTAAATCCCTATTAGGACCAAATTCTTTACCCTTAAATGTCCAGTTAATTAATGTATAATTTTATAGTACTGTAGGAAATTAGGCTATATCGAAGGTATCGGCCTGGATAGCTCAGTGGTTAGAGCACCTGACTAGAAATACAGGGGTCCCCGGTTCGATTCCCAGTCCAGCCACATAATTTTCAGTGTCTCAAGATTTGTATGTGAGACACATTTCAAAGATGTTAATGAATTAATAAAATATATATTTACTTTACCATTGTGCAGGCAATGTATTAAAATGTTAAAGTCCTGACAAATGGAGAATATAAGGCTGGATTAAGGTTATCGATATGGATAGCGAGCTCGGATAGCTCAGTGTTAGGACACCTGACTAGAAATACAGGGGTCCCGGGTTCGATTCCCGGTCCAGGCATATGTTTTTAATGTGTTTGTATTAATGAATTCTCAATATGTTTACTCATTCCTCCTTTTCATACTACAGTACAAAAGGATTGCCCGCGGCGCGAGAAAATTTTAAAAATTTCATTAACTAAGCAGTAGTTAATTAACAATGATTGCGCTGAAGTCTATTGGGAAACGCGTTTTTAATTAAAAACAAAACAAAACAAAAACAGTTTGTGTTTGTGAAACACTGATGTCCCCGTATGGAAGCTTATGGCGCGGACTGAATTCTCTCAAATGCATGTCAAACTCCAAAGGGTCAAGGTCAAAAGAATTGGTACCATAAGGGATGTCTTGTTACACCTGAAATATGAAAGAACTAATTCTTAATGTTCAGAAGTTAATATGCTTGATGTGTATTAAATTTGAGTATTGTACAGTAGTGTACATGCATATAGGTATTTATACATTAACATCATGCACTGCACTTTGAAGTCGTATAACTTTGTGGATATTTAGTACATGCATTTACTAAAAGATGTATGTAGACTGAACAACTACTTCTCCAGACTCTATATCATAGTATTACATGATTGTTTTAACTTATTTTTTCTTGCTTTAATTTAGACTTTATAAGTTTATATGTAATTCCAGTTGTCAAAAAAAAAACTTTTTGAACATTTTTTTTTTCAAATGCATACATAGTATTAGATTTTTCTTTTGATAGTGATCTTTAAAAAAACTGAAATTTTGTCATTTGAAAAACTTCATACAATAAAATATTAAATTAAAAAAAAAATCACAACAAAAATGATACTCAGACTTCCATAGATCTGCTAAATATTTATGTATCCATGTACAAGTAGATATTCATAAACAATTTGGAAACCTTATTAAAAAAAGAGAGAGAGAAGAAGAAGAAATCCACACACTCTTATTGAGTCCCCTTTTCACAGGATATTTTATTTTATCACTTCTATAAATATTTTTAACTGTTCAAAAAATTATACTGTCTAAAAAAATCCAATATTTTTAGCTTGGTATGTGTTGACAATAATAATCCTGAAGACATTTATTATTGGTAAATTTTATTTAACAAATAAATAAGGTTATTCTGGTGAAAGGGGCCACAGATAGATCCGCTCCTCAATAGTGCAGACGACAGCGCCGCCTTTAGGGAAATTCTAACCAATCAAATGCCGTTTAACTTGTTAGCGCGAACTATAAATAAATCTGAACGTCTAAAACGAAAGTAGAAAGGTCTGATTACTAATGGATTTGATTTTAAGTAAAAAAGAATTACTACACATTATCCTTGGATTAAATGTTTTTCACTTTTATGTTTTTTATGGATCAAATTAGTATAAAATAATTGTTTTAGAAGCAATTACTATTAAATTTTATCTTTTAAAAAATGTCAGGCCCCCGAGGGATGGTATGTCCGAATGACAGTAGAAGAACTCCACCTGGCCGACAACAATTTAAACAGATGTTACCATTGGTTGGAAATCCAATATAACCTGCCAGGCCAGACAGGAATCAAGTCAGTATTTCAGCCAAGACGTTTATGATAATCTAACAACTAAGCTTTATGATAATCATGATGTCTTCTATTTTTCAATAGTCAACTTCCCTTACTTATGTAGCAATAAATCCTTCTCAACTTCCTATGGCGTTTATGTCTCGGTTGATTTGATCAGTAAGTGTCTGATGTACAGTAAGTGTCTTGTTCTACATATGAACAATGTATAAAGAAGAGGCAAGTTATTGTCCAACACGTTTATGAAACAAGTATTTCAACAGTCTCGTTTCTCGTTTTTGGTCAATATATACGATGACCTTGTCAGAAAATACAACCTATCATTAAGTCAATTCCTGAATGATGTTTGTCATACAAAATGTAAAATTTTAATCCATTATACACACTTACCAATCAAGACAAGGAGCACACGGCGGGTGTGACCGATCGGTAGATGTTCACTCTTATATTATAAGGCACCTGATGCCACCTCTAATGCTTTAAAGGTTCGTGTTTTCCGATTTTTATTGTTTGAATGTACTAAAATGCTTGAATATTGTTCGTTTACTCCTCCATACGCTCTCCATATACTTTAAATATGATTTTTTTAAAATTTAATTTCGATCAGTTTGATTAAGATCGAAGGTATTGCATTTATGACAAATATTATTCCAACTAAAAATTTCCACAATTAAACATGATGAAATTTTACTAAAGAAATATTGATTTATTCCTAAAATAGAATCGTTGCATCATAACATGCATTGTAAAGTTTTGGTTAAGTTTTGTTTTAAATCTGTATTTCAACTTAACCATATTTTAACTTGATTAAATTACTTTCACATTTTTTTTTGGCTTTTCGACACTTGTCTTTAGAGTATGTTCTTTAAACGTGCAATGAATTCACGTTTTAAACTTTTGAGTTTCTGCTTATGTTATGTTATATATTAAAAGCAAATGGGGATATATATTTAACTCACCACTAAGTTTTGAATTAACTTATCACTATTTAAAGGATTATATTTCTGCAAAGTTTAATAAATATCCTTTCCTTTTTAACTAATATAATAAGGTTTTTTTAGTTAGAATAATAAAAATAATGTATTTGACATTTTTGTGCTGAGAATAACGTATACACCTTTCTGTTCTTACTTCTTGAACACAATTCACAATTTTGGACATTTTACTATACTTTCTAGATAGATCAGGAATTTTTTTATGTGTATATTCACCTAATTAAATGGGTTTCAATTCTATACTGTAATTTACACATAATTATAACCTTCGATAATTTTACTTACAAGTAATTTATTTAAGGTCTGGTAGGTATATATCTTTTCGACTAGTCAGGCTCCTGTTTTGCTGCTCTGTTGATTAACAAGTGAGCTTGCTTTTCTATTCATACTTATTACTAGTACCTGTTTTGTTACTCTGATGATTTACCAGTGAGCATCTGCTTTTCTATTCAGACGCTGTGGGGACATTATAGGGGATCAGTGGACGGGATCCAAAGACAGCCCTAACTTTATGACGATAACATTTGACAGTAAATTTGTACAGGACAGACAAGTGGAGAAGGGCTTCAAACTCAGATTTAATGCTGTTGGAAGAGGTATGACTTAAAAGATTAAAACAATGAAAAAAGGATTTGCATTTATGTGTATTACCGGTATATGGCACGCCAAATTCACAAAAATGAGCTAAACAGGGTTTCACAGTCGATAAACTAGGTCTATCGGTTGTAAACTATAGTTCACGGGCTATAAACTATAGTTAACAACGTTAATCTATATTTTACATCTGTAAACCATACAGTTTCACGATTTGTAAACTATGGTTTACGACTCCATAGTTTACAACTCTTAACTTTAGTTAATGATCTGATAAATATAGTTTCACGATTTGTGAAAATATGATAAACAACTCTTAACTATAGTGTATGATTGTAAATTATAGTTTACAGACGTGGATCTATGTTCATCAAAAAAATCTATTGTTAACGTTTTATTACAGACAGATAAACTTAGATTGGCATTAGTAAACTATAGTTAACAACCGTTAAATATAGTTTTATAGATGAAAATTGTGAATTGTTAACTATATTTCACGGTTTATAAACTATAGTTTAGAGTCAATAAGCCTAGTTTATCAACTGTGAAATTATATTTAGCTCATTTTTGTGAATCTAATACTAAAATTTCTTGATCCTATTCTACTCTTTCATGAAAAGCTCAAAAAGTGAAACTAGAATATAGAAGTATTTATTACGTAAGTAGAAGATAGTATTTCTTCTTTTAAGGATGTAAGGATAACCCATGTGTATATGGTACCTGCCATGAAAGCAAGATGGATTGCCAGTTTACGTGTTCCTGTTACTCTGGTTTTGAGGGAAAGTTGTGTGACAAAATGTCAAGTAAGTTCGTAGAAATAATCTCCATGTGTGAATCTCATACAATTAGCTACTCAAATACATATATACCGTGGGTATGTACATAAAACCATCTTCACCGAAACATTTAATCTTTAACGATCTAATTAATCCTACAATGAATAATTCGAGCAGGTGATGCCACATTTGAATGTACCTTTGAAAAGACGAAGTGTTTCTTAGAAAACACTAAAGAAGGCGACGACTTTGACTGGGCTGTTAACTCAGTATGTAAAGTCTTAACAATGTGTCCTTATTGTTAAATATAAAAATTCATGCTCATTTCTGTAATTAATTATCTTTAAATTAAATGAATTTAAAACCATACTAGGGTCCCAGTAGTTCACAAGGCACGGGACCTGACAGAGCACACAAAGGAAATCGGTACATTTTTACAGAAATGTCAGATCCTCGAGTAAAGGGAGAGAAGGCATGGCTGGTATCTAACTTGGACCTACCAGGTATTTATAGAATCTGTTTATCGCAGCACAGTTAAGGTTACAGTAAGGAGGCAGGGCCTAATTTGTACGGGAAATGTTTACTATGACGTCACACATAATGTAAGATCTTCAAAATACAACAAAATGAAATTATTTGTTATTTCAAACAGCTGGATAGCTGTATACTACATACAAACTTACTATTGCATGCAGTTTTGTCGTTTGTTAAATCCCACACAACAGTATATAAACGTTGCATCGATCGCAATGCACTTGTCAATGTGACGTCATCTCGCAAAAAATGACGCAGTCTGTACACAGTGAGAGGCTGATCAAGTCACATTTTATACAATGAAAAATGTCTTTTATTCTCAAATAAAATATTATTTGCAGTAAAATGAAAGACCGTTAACTTGGATGCGATGTCTATTTTAGTATTTTATTTATAAACTGTACGTGCATTCTCCAGAAAAGCGATAATGTCGTGTGTTTGTATCCAGATTCATTGAAAAAGTAATGGAAGGACCCTAATAAATCGATTTATTGCAAGGGCATACCCTCAATGTATCTTTTCAAAATTTTAAACGTAAACTTAAAAAGCATTAAGATATTTGAAAAGTGCTGCGAACCTCTTGAAATCTTGCAAATAAAATAATTATAGCTATATTTAATGTAGTTGACCAGCAAAATATTCAACCTATCGTCCAACAAATTAAATTTTGGCAATTAAAAAAGGGAATCTATATAGGTTCGCAGCACTTTTCACAAACTACATATAGTGTTCAAAAGGACTATAAATTAAACTAAGATTTTTAACTTGGTTATGCCATTGCAATATTGGCATTTATAGATGACCTCTAAACTGCAAGTATAATTGCCAAAGTCATGTGACGTCGACATTACATGACAAGTCTAAATAAAAAAAAATTTATGTCCCCAACATGTAGATTTAAACCACATTACTTTTTTTGATATCAGTAAATTCCTAAACCGAATCGCCAATCCTTATAAAGTATGTATTTTTTATCTTTAAAAATCGCCGATATTTCCATTTGTAACCTTAACTCTGCTGCGATGTGTATATATGTAAGAGTTTCAATATGGGTGGAAAAATCCTGGAAGGACAAAGAAAAACGCATATGTACATGTATTTGTACTTGTTAATATGCATTGTACTTGTAACATTCAGTAGGTTAAAATACATTTCACTAATTAAATTGTTTGAAAAAAGTTATTTGACTGAGTATATTGTACTCAACTGTTTTCTGATTTCTAAATCTGACTCTTTTTTTAGCTTCAGAGAGATGCCTTTCGTTCTACTACTACATGTTTGGTCACACAGTTGATTCACTGAGAGTCCTGATTTCCGGGGAAAACAGGTCCCAAAGCGCCATCTGGTCTGAAACAGGAAACCAGGGCAGCAAGTGGAAATTCGCTCGTGTCAATATTGAGCAAATAGAAAAACTGAGGGTAATACTGGTCGACTAAGTATTATCAGAAAAAAAGCACATTGTTCTGATAATCTATTATCAAATAATTAACTTCAATAATTATTGTTTATAGTTTTGCGTGTTTATACAGCTTCAAAAAAGACAGTGAAATATATATGAAGGATATAAGAAGAATGAAAATTTCAGTTCTTTGAAAAAAAATCTTAATTCGGAAAGAACTATACTTTATTGGATTATTTCTGATCAATAATTTTACTGATCATGATTCATATAAAATTAGACTTTTGATAAATCAGATCGTGTTTGAAGCTGTTCGTGGTGAAGATTGGAGTAGTGATATTGCCTTAGATGACGTAGTTCTTTCTGTCGGAGCATGCGCAAACGGTTTGTGTTTTATTGTCATAAACATCAATAAAAGTTTTGAACACAGAATTTTTCAAAAATGATTGAATACATGTATACATTTAAACATGAGACCGAGTTATATACAAGTCAAGGTTTAAGTCATTTTGCAAATCTCAGTGCTGGTATATGGTTTATTTGGTAGTATTTTTTAATATCATCTTTTTGTCTGTCTGTATCTGCCTGTCTTTCTATTCTTTCTATTTATGTAGCAATTACAATTAGCATCTGTATATATAGTTTATGTCTCCCAGTTGATTCGACAAGCAAGAGTATGCTTTGCATTAGAACAATTTCTGAAACGAAATTACTGACAAATAAGTTTATGGTACAAGAATATCAACAGTTTTCTTTGAATCATAATTACTATGGTATAATGACCTTGTTAGCAAATACAATATATTGCTAAGTCGAAAATTGACTGACAATTTTCATACTTATATATAGGTCAAGCTTTTCAAACTGAATCGTTATCCAATCATGATAATTAAGGAACAAACTCGGGGAAGATGTTTACTCTTCTATTACAACCTCTGATGTTTTAGAGGTCTATGTTTGCTCTGTTTTTAATTTGTTTTGTTTCAAAGAATTTTTAAACTTGATTATACTGTTTGTTGTCTTCATATTTTTTCTTACTGCCCATCGCTTACTGGTTCCATTTTTTTTTTCTTATGTGACTCCCTTCTTCCATCTACAAATACGTAAATTGGTATTAAATAGAAATAACGAACAATATAAAAGTGCAAAGTACCGTTCACGGTAGCCTAGTGGTAGAACGGTCGCTTCGTGATCGGGACGCCCGGTTTCGATTCTCGTTCGCGGATATGACCTTAAAAACTTAGTTCCCCTGTCACGGTAGGCGCTGACATGATAAAGAACCCTTACTGCTCAATGGCCGTCAGTGCCGAGTATAGGTCTAAATTTGAAACCCTTCACCGGCATACGGTGACGTCTCTATATGAGTAAAAAATTCTCGAGAGGGACGTTAAACAATATACAATCAATTAAATGCACAGCCCATTTAATAATAACAGATCGGGAGCAGAGCAACAGGTACGTACCTCTGAAAATACCAGAGGGGATCAGGTGCCATGAAGGAGCGAGCATTCCCTGCTGACCGATTACACCCGATGTTTGCCCCTTGACATGGAAAACATAAAAAAAAATCTTTCTAAACTGTTGATATCCTTGTTTTATCAATTTATTTGTCAAAAGGTTGACCACAATGATTTACAAAAAAACTTAAGTAAAATACATGTCATTAAAAAAAACAAATCATAATCTTACGAATATGACAATAAAAATACTAAATCCCAAAATATACATGATATTACATAGAGTGTTGAACAAAAATTAGAAAGTTACTTAAAATATACCATAAGAAATTAGCAAAAATCAATTTTCTTTCAATAAAGCTACACACAAAATATGAAATTGCATTCATATATGGATATTATCAGATGCTTAACATTTTTATTATTTTTTACAAATATAATAAATTTTTATTAACATACTTGGAAAACTTTGGACAAAAATCATTATTGTCAAGTAAATCCATGTGGTTAATACCAACTTGATATTGCAGTGACTGAAAATATTGAGTGTGTGAAGACAAACCGGGGCGGGGATTACAAAGGGAAAGTCAACGTAACACGGAGCGGAAAGGCTTGTCAGCCCTGGGCGGATCAAACGCCCCATTCACACACTGGGTATGCTGCCCTAGTCAACGACTCCAACTACTGCCGGAATCTTTACCCCCGGAGCAATGACTACCACCCCTGGTGTTACACTATGGACCCTGGGGACCGCTGGGACTACTGTGACATACCTGCTTGTGGTACTATAGTACCGCATAAGTAAAAAAAATTAGCGAAACGAAAATTTAGCAATTTGTCTTAAAAGATTGGTACTATTATTTTATTTTTAGCGAAATGTATATTAAGCTATTTTAAAATACTCATTTAAGAAGCTAATAAAAATGACACGCAATTAATTTTAGAGATATAAAATAAAACTAACAATGTCAGAATTAATTAAATCATCGCTAAAAGTTCAGCTTATACGGGTATTTATTTTCAGTATTTATGAAAATATATATTGTATATTCTATAGGTGTTGTTCTGGTGCTCTGTGTTGCAGTTTTTTTTTAAATTATCATTTCAAAAATTGGATCATGTTTATAATTTTTACATTGATAAAAACATTAAAAAGGCACATTGAATTGACCAGCTAGAATATTTACTTGTACACTGTACTTGATACTTTTTTTAATTTAACAATTAATGGTATTGTAAATCAAATACCATCGTGTTTGGTTGCAGAATATGAAGAATGCAGACGCTCTAGTATTGGATACGAGTATGCTGGAAGAGTGAGCAAAACAAAGTCCGGGAAAACGTGTCAGAGGTGGGATTCACAGTCACCACACGAACACTCGCACGCGGGTCTGATGGGCCACGAGAATTACTGTCGGAACCCCAGGGGTAGAGAACAGGAACCTTGGTGCTTCACAGAGGATAACTCCACGCGTTGGGAATATTGCGATGTGCCAATGTGCAGTAAGATTTCGATCTTAGTATACCTCTCATTTTGATCTAAGTACACATCTCATTTATTTTCTGTTGCCCTAAAATTAACTATAATTGTTTGATCGAGTTACATGAAGTTAGTTGCAAAACATTGTTTCACAGCTGAATATACAAGTACATGTTCGCCTAATCTTGAAAATATGGAATAAAAGTAGTCAGTTTATGATTCCAGGCAAAGGAATAACCTATTGACCTTTGCATTATTTTTAAACAAGAGTAGGAAAGTATAATTCAGATTAAATGCTCAATCTAAATTTACGTTTTACTGTAAACCAACTTTTATTCGCATGCGAGAAATTTTCACTAAGTTCGCTATAGCCTCGTCATCGTGAATATTTCTCGCCGCGAACCGGTCCATAAAGTCTCATTTTCTATTTACAAGAGAACCTAAATAGACTTGATCGCGAAAATTAATCGTTGCAAACTAGTTTACCCTTGGTAAATCGCGAAATACAGTCGTCACGAATAATAGTTGGTTTACAATAATTCTTGTTCGTTTCAGATGATGAAGCTCGGGAATGCGCACTGCTAGCTCAAAATATTGATTACTTTGGAAAAATCAACACAACTACAAGTGGTCGATCATGTCAAAGATGGGATCAACAAAAACCGCATTCTCATTCAAGTTAATATATGTTTAGTGTAACTTAGATTTAGACTAAAAAGATTTTTCGGTATGAGCAATTCTCGGTTTTATATCTGTTCAAAATAAACAAGATTTACTGTAAATGTTACTCTATTGTTATATATATTTGACAGTGCCACTAACCTCTGCTCAGGAGAACTATTGTCGTAACATGGGCGGCGAGAACCGAGCATGGTGCTATACGACCGACCCCGACAAACGCTGGGAAAGGTGCAACATTCCGCCATGTGGTAATATCCTCAATATATAATTTTGCAGCATTGGAAAACATACTGTAGATTCCTTATTCTATGCGAGTGCCTATATTATCGCGAATTGGCTCTTAAATGTAAAATTAACAATAATTCCTGAGTGGGGGTTGATGGAGAGATTTTGTATAGCCTTCCGCGCGAAATAAAAGTATTTTAATTTCGTGTGTGGTACTTCTTGTGAATTACTGCGATAATTAATTCCTCACAGATATTTAGGAATCTACAGTATTATGATATCTATGAATGATCATATAACTAATACTTGCAACATGTACTTTGTTAGCTTCAGGGATGAGTTCAATCGAAATATAAAAGAATATTGTATTTTTAATTAAGAATACTATTTCTTATTGTCAGACAACTTGGCATGCTTTTCGAACCCATGCTACAATGGAGGGACATGCACAAATGATGGAGATTCCTATAATTGTTCCTGTTTTCTGGGTTACCAAGGAGACAGGTGTGAAACTGAAGGTGAGTTTTCTTTGCAGTTTACATGTTTTACTTTAATTCAACATTTATCATTAGAATCCACATTAATTGTCAAATAGAATCATTCTATCCAAAAAAAACTAGTACACATTTTACACATACGGGGGTGTGACGGTCGAAGGTGATGTTTACTTCTCAATGCACCTGGCCCCACCTTTAGAATTTCCAGGGATCCGTGTTTAAACCCTCTTTCCAGATTTGTATTGTTTACATATTTTTTGAGATGGATGGTTGTTTGTAATTTTTACCATTTTCATTCAGCAAATCACGTTTCTTGTGTATTTTAAGTTCCACTAAGAACAGAGAACTGTAAACGGTCCATCATTGGCTGGGAGTACCGAGGAACCATATCATTAACTGTCAACAACCGAACGTGTCAGCGGTGGAATGAAAGTACTCCACATGGACATCGCTTTACCACGTCCATGGCGAGTCACGAGAACTACTGCAGGAACCCGGATAAAGAACCTACCCCGTGGTGCTACACCTCTGACCCAAATAAACGATGGGAACTTTGCAACATACCGACTTGTGGTAGGTTCCAATGAGAGAATTTTTAGTATCAAGTATTTTTATATGGAAAATATTGATATTTGATTTAATCAGATTACTTTCTCGAATTTATTTCCAATCAATCAAAACACCTCTGTGCACTAATGGACTTTATGCAAACATCATTGTGTGTTTTTCTGTCTGTAACAATGTCTTAGAAACTGCTCATCGTAGCTTTTTGAAAGTTTACCACACTGACATGCCAATAAGTGAGATTGTGCGAATCCGATGCCCATTTCCCGTTGATCCGTGTGTCTGTCCGAACCAAATTGACATCAAAGTTGTTGTATTACTAAAGGAGTTTTATGAAGAGACTTACTTTTACAATCGACGACTGACTTCTACAATTGAAACAGTCACTTACTCCATTTACTAAAATGTAAAAGTCAGCTGTCGAATGTAAAAGTAACCCTCTTCATAAAACTCCAATAAAGCATTGACTTAGAGATCTCTTGCTTAAATATTAGATTTTCGCATTACAAGTCGCTTCTATATTACAGACACTCCGCCGTCTGAATGCTTGAATGTTGCTCGAGGAGAAGATTATTTTGGCCATGCTAACAAGACTATAAATGGGTACACGTGCATGCGCTGGGATTCCCAGTCACCACATCAGCATGGGTATAATTACATTCGGGATCAGGAGAACTATTGTCGTAATCCTTATGGAGAGGAACCTAAGGGGCCATGGTGCTATACCACAAATCCCAACAAGAGATGGGATTATTGCTTTGTTCCTCTGTGTGGTAAGTCAATACAACAAGAGATGGGATTATTGCTCTTTCTCTGTCTGTGTGGTAGGGCAATAAAACAAGAGATGGGATTATTGTTCTGTCCCTTTGTGTGGTAAGTCACTACAACAAGAGGTGGGATTATTGTTCTGTTCCCCTGTGTGGTAAGGCAATACAACAAGAGATGGGATTATTGCTCTGTCTGTCTGTGCGGTAAAGCAGTACAACAAGAGATAGGATTATAGCTCTGTTCCTCTGTGTAGTAAGGCAATACAGGATATGGGATTATTGCTCCGTAACTGTGTGTGGCAAGTCAATACAACAAGAGATGGGATTATTGTTCTGTTCTTCTGTGTGGTAAGTCAATGCAACAGGAGATGAGATTATTGTTCTGTTCTTCTATGTGGTAAGTCAATACAATAAGAGATGGGTTTATTGTTTTGTTCCTCTGTGTGGTAAGGCAATACAACAAGAGATGGGATTGCTTTTCTGTTCCTTTGTGTGGTAAGTCAATACAACAAGAGATGGGATTATTGTTCTGTCCCTCAGTGGTAAGTCAATACAACAAGAGACGGGATTATTTTTCTGTTCTTCTGTGTGGTAAGTCAATACAACAAGAGATGGGTTTATTGTTCTGTTCCTCTTGGTAGTACATGTAAGGCAATACAACAAGAGATGGGATTATGGCTCTGTCTCTCTGTGTGGTAAGGCAATACAGGATGGGATTATTGCTGTTCCCCTCTTTGTGATAGGTCTGTACAACAAGAGATGATTTTATTGTTCAGTTCCTCTCTTTGGTAAGTCAATACAAAAAGAGATGGGATTATTGCTCTGTTCCTCTGTGTGGTAAGTCAATACAAGAGATGGGATTATTGCTCTGTTCCTCTGTGTGGTAAGTCAATACAACAAGAGATGGGAATCTTTCTCAGTTCTTCTAGTTGTAAGTGACTACATGAGATGAGAGTATTACTATATGTTTCTTCTTGTGGTGAGTTAATACTACAAGAGATGAGAAATATTACCTTGTTCCTCTTTGTGGTATGTGAAACTTCAGAATAGTTACAGTCATTATGTACATGAATATATGTTGATTCTGGAAGGAATGAAGTCATTTAAGATGATTTTTTTTTGTTTTAGGTGGGAAGATTTAACCTGAATATAGAAGACCACGTTTGTTTCAAGGAAATTTATTTACTCTATAAGAGACGAAATGTACTGGAAAAATGTAGAAAACCTCTAAATGGAGATCCTATGATGATAGCTATACTTTTTTTTATTATAAGCCTATTGATCATGAGTGCTTGATCAATAAATTATTAGCATTCTAAATTGGGTTTTACTTGATATTGAAGTGCATGTTTAAAATGGTTAATAAATCCCAATTTTCTTGACTCAGATGAGCTAAAGGACGAAATCTGAAGATAACGAGCAGAAAGCATGCTCAGAACTCGATTAGAACAACACACTTAGGAGCAGAGCAAACAATTGGGAAACATCAGAGATGGGATTAGATGCCACGGAGGAGCAAGCTGTGTGCTACTTGTGATCAGTAAAAAAAAATCCGCATTCAATTTAAAGTGTGTAAGTAATGGCCTAACAATAAGAATGAAAAATGGCAGTCAGCTTTTAACTTAATTTTAGATTATATTTGCTGACAATATCATTGTATCGGACACAGAGCTTACGAAACTATAACTTTAAGCAGGACTGTAGGTATATTTGTTTGCCAGTATCTTGCCTTGTTTTACAAGTTGGTCGTATGTAGAGCAATATGCTCTTTGGTATCGAATCAACTTAGAAACGTAAACCTCAAATGAAGATAAAATGGGAAGTTGGTGGAAAAGTTGAAGTCATTTCATTTTCATGAAAGAAAAAACGATAATATTGATGTTACCGTGACAATTTTTGTAAATTCCAATGTTTTAGAGGCATGAGAATATACTCCCCCTTTTATATCAATTTTTCTAAACAATGAATAGAGTCTTTTTGATACAACATGAAATATGATAATAGTACAGAAAGGGAATCAAATTTAGGTTTTAAAAAAATCTATTATAAGATTTAAAGAGAAATTCGCCATATTTATGTTGTCAAAAACAGACCTATTAAGCAGTTACAGGCAAGAATATACTATACACTCCAAGTTGTTAACAGTAGATATTTTTCAAAAAGAATTAAGGATATAGAGATAAC